TCATCAAAACTTGGATAAAACAAACCTGGGGATTTTCGCATCGAAATTTGCGATAGAATTGGGATAATTGGGACATACCGGGGATACAATAGGGATATAAGATTTGACCGTCCAAAACCGGGATACTCTCTGGTATTCTAACATGGCTAGCTGGGAAATCTCCGCGGCCTAGATTGAGCTTCTCTTCGCGAAAATCATCGAACTATAGCCGGGGAGTTGTCCAGCAAAGCATGTTTGATTGCCGGAGAGTATAATGGGGATATACTGGGGATATCATCAATGAATATATTGGTTGGTGATTTCAATCATTTGCGTTCTTTGCACAAACCATAGAAATGGGATTATGAACCAAAATGACGATATTATATGTTTCAGATGGGCTGACACCAGAAATCAGGAAGAGAGATCTAAAGCTTCTCTGGCTTTGCCCCCCTTGCCCAGTTCAAGAGGTTTTTGCGACAATCTCGTTCTGCACCTGGACGCAAAAACATGCCGCAAAGTGAATGGGGTACCCCAAGAGCTGGATGGTTGAAGGGGCTAACGCCCTGGTGCCGTTGACCCCCTTAAGGGGGGGCACCCCATGTGCAAGACGCATCTATCAGATTGTTGGGTATGGTGCAGGATATGGCCTGTACTTGAGCATTTTATCCGCATGAGATTCTCACCATATTTCCATTATTGATTTGTGTGTCCATTTTTCTGTACAGAACCCCCTTGATAGTAAAAATCAAACATGCTATCCCCATTAGTCCCACATTAATCCCACATGTTCCATTTCTCATCTGAGGGCGGCGTTGTAAAACAGAGATTCCAGATTTGTACCCGGGCCTGGAACAATGAAAATTCCGACATGAAAATTCCGATGATTTGGGGTACCCCCATGACTTAGGAAACCTCCAAGTCTGCAGCTTGCACAAAGTTTTGTGGCTCAAGCCGAAAAACACATTTTGGACATTTTTGGACTATGGGCTGCGGAGCAAGTGGGGCCAAACGCTTCTCGGCTATGGGCTGGATGCTAGAAGGGTTAGCTGCCGTTGGTCCAGAAGTCACGGTTCAGTGACTTGAAAGCCCGTGACTCAAAGATACCCAAAGCCACATGTTGGGTGCAACTCGCTTAGGTCCTTAGGCTTTGCGGCAGAATTCCGCTCTGAATTGATCCACTGGATCTATCAACCACAGTATGAAAACTGTCTAAGTGGGATCACCACAGATTGCATGCGGTTCGTGAGATGTTGTGGATTTCTAAAGGGTCAATGATGGTCATTGGTAGAAAGCAGTCCATGTCAACATTTTGTCATCCTATTGTTGAGTTGACAAGTTGTAACCACATAGCACAGATACACAATCTGTTTCTTCGAGGAGCGGACAACATCTTGTTTTTGAACTCTTGAACGTTCATGTTGAGGTCGCTTACCGACCAAGAATAAACCACAAAACAAGCAATTATGTGACAAGACAAGAACGGATACATACGCAAATGCAAATAGATTGAGGTCACAGTTCATGCATACGCATATCATCGCATATCTATGTACAGAGTTACTCACACAATTGACATATACATCTGCCAGAACTACAGATTCATGATCATTCCATGTATTTGGCAGATTTATAATTGTTCTGAATTAGATCATTTATACATCTATATGGTTTATTCAGATTTATGATCGCTTAGATCATTCATGTATTTTTTGGACCCTATTTTATAAACCATCCCCAAGTTCAAAAGGCATATTCTCAGCCTTTTGAGGGGCCTCGGGGATGATTCACCAAGCTGCACTGAATATGTCTTCATGGTATACACACGCGGGTACAGACTATATATATATATACATATATATATATAATTATATGTATACACTTATAGGTACATGGCTGCAACATTTTTTGTGAGTTCCTTTGGAGCGCTTTTTTTTGGCACCCCAAGGATTGACCTTGAATCCAGACAGCTTACATGGCATTCAGAGCACAAAGTCGCGGTCAACGAAGAGCTCAGCTTCCCTCACGACCGCGACAGGCGGGCGACGGTGACATGTTCGATGTCCGGAAGAAAGTGAAAAACTGGTTGTTTGAAGACATCGCGAGAAACAGAAAGAAAGGAATGTAATGGGATATCACGGGGATAGAATGGTATTAATATACCAATGATATATCCCATGATATGGCAATGTTTCAAGGAAAAACCGCCTTTCCGAAAGGGTCATTTCAGCGCATCTTCCATCCCCTCGCTGTGGAATTCGGCGACAGCCATTTACCCATTTTTGCTATGGAAGATCACCATGTTATATAGGTAAACCAACTCTAAATCACCCATTTTCCATAGCTATGTTAGTTCACCAGAGGTAAATCATCGAACTAAATGGCCATTTTCAATATCTGAAGTGATTAAATTCCTGGAGTGTTTCCATTTGCATTGAAACTAAAATCACCATTTTTGTCTGCTTAAATCCCGATTCTTGGCTGGTTGCAACTGCCACTTTCGGTTGGCGACGTCCCCATGCTTGACAAAATCTGTCATTCTTGTTGATGTTGTTGTTGTTGTTGTGGTTGTGGTTGTTGTTGTTGTTGTTGTTCTTGTTCTTGTTGTTGTTGTGGTTGTGGTTGTGGTTGTGGTTGTTGTTGTTGTTGTTTCTGTTTGCATCCTTATTCTTCTTGGCCAAAGGAAGTTTAGTTCGAAAACTTCCGAGTTACGGACGAATGTCCAGGGGCAGTCTTGTCATCATCATGTCAACATCATGTCATCATCATTTGCGCGTGGGAGCGGTAGAGGAGAGTGATAGTCCGGGAACGTGTGAATTCACGGGTGAAAACGCTCTCGGGTGCCAAACCCTATGGTTTTTTCGGGTAATGTGGCTTCCGGGGTCCCGAAGTAGAGTCTCTGTTTCCGGTTTCGGGGCTCGATCTGGGAAAGTTGTCAACAAAAAGTGCACACGACGTAGCGAGAGCTCGATCTGCACTTGAAAATGTTGAAAGATTGTCACATTCGGGGCACTTTTGGAAGAGAAAGATTGTCACATTCGGGGCACTTTTGGAAGATGAGGTCGGCAAAATGCGCACAAGACTGTCGCGAGAGCACGATTTGTTATAAAAATCGCTAAAAGCCTGGCACGTCGGAGCAGCGCGGAATCATCTCCATTGTAAGCGCTGCGTGAACATTGGTTGATTTGGTGCGAAGCTCCTGCACGGCTGTGCGCAGCAAAGCACCACTGTTGCTGCGTGGCTCCTGGCAAGCAGGATTGCAGCTGGAGGTTGCCAAACCCATTGCAACAGCTGTGCAAAGAGAAGAGTTGGGTTGCACAAGCTACAAAAGAGGTAGGTGGGAGGCAGCTCAGAGCAGAAGTAGTTCAGAGAAGTAGCTGAGAGAAGAGATGCGCCAGCGAGAGGTCGCTCAGTGAAGATGTAGCTCAACAAAGTCAAGTAGCTCGTCCATCCATCCATTCATTCACTCATCCACCCACCCATCCATCCATCCATCCATCCATCCATCACTTCATTCCATTGGTTCATTGATTCATGGATGCATGGATTCATGGATTCACTGATTCATTGGTTCATTGGTCCATCGATCATTGATTCACCGAATCAGTGATTCAGTGATTCACTCGTTCACTGGTTCATTATTTCATCGACTTACTCATTCACTCCGTCATTGATGCATGACTTCATCGTCTCAAAAGTTCATCCGTAATTAAATTGATTCATTGGTTCATTGATTCACCGAATCGCTGAGTCGTTGGTTCACTGAATCATCTTTTCGTTGATTCATTGATTCACCGCCCCACTAAAACATTCATGCGTTGAATCTTTGACTCATTGCTTCTGAATCGTGGATTCATTGCTTCATTGATTCACTGAATCATCGGTTCATTGATTCACTGATTCGTCGATTCATTGGTTCACTTATTCATCGATTCATTGGGTCGCTGGTTGGTTGATTCATTGGGTCATTGCTTCGCTCCTTCATTGGTTCACTTATTCATCGATTCATTGGTTATTATTCACTTATTCATCGACTCATCGGTTCGCTTGTTGGTTGATTCATTGGGTCATTGCTTCGCTGCTTCAGTGGTTCATTGATTCATGAATTCACTGATTCATTGGTTCATTCGTTCAGAGCTGTGCAGGGATTCTCTCACGTCACTTCATTGGCATCTCAGCCACCACTTTTTCATTCGTTGATGCACCTCACAGCTTCAACCGCTTATGCTTTCTGCATCTCAACAAAAAAACTATAGGCCATTGGTTTCCTATAGTCACGTACTATTTTCGAAACTTCCGCCCCGGCGCGTCCCGGGCACTATCTGGTAATTTGTTTTGGGAATATGAACCGGGTGAAGACAAACTGAAATCCCTCATTTTCTCCGTGTGTTTCCAACCAACTATGAATGAATCACAGCCATCATGGGGGTTCCCCTTGTATTTCGGGTGGCGGGGGCCGCCCATAGCAGCCTTGTTTCTGGTTCAGAATCCTTTAATCCTGGAGGCGACCCTGCGCTGGACGCGCCATGGCACGAAGAAAAACGTGGGTAAATCATCCAAATGCAGTTCTAGCTGGTTTGGGACGAATTCTTCATAAATTTCTCCTCCAAATTACAATCTGGGATGATATTTCGGGCCGGCACAGATTTTCTGGAAGGTGAATCCTAAAATGGCAAAATGTCAAACATGATCAGCAAGTGTTTGCTGTGAATGGCCACTGTTTTCACTTGGATCTCCTGGAACTCAAGAACTACAACTATTCCGCAGGCACCTATCACATAGAACTGGGACATTTTCTTGGGGGTGCGACAACTGAAAAGGTAGAATATGCAAAACTTTGCCCCGATGGCGCCCATTTTTTGTTAAGGGAAGAAATCGAAAGACACTTATTGTTTTCACTAAAGAACACATTTTTACCTCCTTTCTTTGAAATTGGTTTCACCGTGAATTTTCCTCGAATTTGTCCCTTCAAAGTTGACCATGACCTGAGGAGTCGGGTGTTTTGAGTTTCTCTTCTTGGAATGGTCCGCGGCCCCGCGGCATATGCTCGCCTACGAAACGTGAGCACGACAAACACGTCGCGAAACTCAGAAAGTTCCTTCACTCGGTGCCTGGGTGGCACGGGGGCTTTATCAGGGTACGAATGAGGGAGGTTTTGCAGCTGTAAATTGGAGGTTTCCTAAGCCATGGGGGTACCTCCAAATCATCCATTTTGTTGGGGATTTTCTAAATCATCCAGATATTGGGGTAGCCCATTTATGGATACCTCCAATTGCGGGAACCAATTTTGCACCTTCCTTGTCTTGGCTGCCTTCCCCTCAATTGGCCATTTAAATAGGACAAATACATGGAAAATTCATGATTATCCCAAACACACTAGTCTATAATATTTGTATTCTGCATGTTGGACATGTCCATTGATAGTACTGACCCATAGCGTAATGGTCGAATATGACTGATATTGACTGATGGACGGACGATGCATCAGGAAAGGCAGGAAACCATCCAACCTGGAACGCCAATTTCGACTGCTCCTGTTGCTGGGGTGACATGTTTTGACATGTTTTGAATGCATGTCTGAAAACGACATTTCACCCTCGGGCTTTCTTGATCTGAGTACATTCCTGGAAACTAAGATGGAAACCCAAGATGATTTTCTGATGAAATCTGCCAAGTTTCATGCCAAGGTGCGCGTTTCTCCAGAGGAGTTTACGCAGAAATTTGATCCGCAGCAAGCTGTGTCAAGGGATTGACATTTTTGCTGAGCCAAGGCGAACCAACGGGGTTTCTGTTGGCTTGGTCATCCCAGAAAGGAGCCGCTTAAAAAGTGATGTACTCGAGGGACTACCAACCCACCAACCAGCTGTGTTCAGCCCATCGATTTCAACAAGATTGGCAATTGACTATCAGAACTATCTATGAAATGCTGCAGGACTTAGTTTGTCAATGGTGTTGTGCTTCCCCTTGTCACCGTATGATTCTGAAGTCAGGCTTTGATGATATCTAAGGAGACTCAGAATATGATCAACAAAATATGATTTACAGAATTGAATATGACATATCTGCTATCCTATTGATGATATGTGGGTGACTGGTAAATCTCTACCAGTGCGATTTGAATTTTATCAGCCACAAGTTGCGTCCCCGATACTTTTCATGCGTGGGAAGCCCAAACACGGCCAGATGCAAAAGGCTGCCACTAAGTCAGCGAACATACTGGCCTTCGGATAGCTGATAGGCTGATTTAGACCTTGATTTAGACCTTGATGTTTCCTGATCCAGCATGGATGTATGGATGTGGCTTGAATGCCAAGATGCACGTAGCAGGTTGGTTCTGGTGGCGCTGATCATCTCCATTTTTTCGGATGCCTCAGCAAAACGAGTCCGATGACCTTGGTTCGGAGGCGCAGCGATTCGTGTATTGATTGACTTGGAGACGTTCCGCTAAGGAAATGGTCCAACCAACTTAAACATGCTTCCATAAATATGCTAACCCCGTCTACTTACTGATAGATATATATATATATAATATATATATAATATATAATATATATATAATATATATATATATATATTATATATATACATATAGGATTATATAGGTAATGTATGGTAATGTCGTGGTAAAGCCAACAATAAAGCTACCATTTGGGGAAGGAATAATTACCTATTTATGGTGATTTTTGGGATGGTTTAGTATCGGGTTTACCACATTATGACTTGTTGGATAAGACAGCTTGAGGAGTATGGAACTGATGTGTCCCTGGGGGTTTTCCTCATCACCGAGTTGCACAACTGTCACTGTAGTTTTTTAATTCAAACATTTTAGCCAGAATCAGAGGTTAATCTTGCCACGAGCTTGCTGATGAATAGTATGGCTCGTTTCGCTGCCAGGTAGAGCGCAAGCACTCACTGCTTTAGTTCTCAACTGAGTTTTATCGAGATGCGGGCCCGCAGGTTTGGGCCTCCCGCGATGATCAGCTCGCGAACTTTTCGGCTTTCCAGTCAGCACACAGAAATGTTCTTTTGAAGATTTTTGAAGATTTAAACAACATTTAAATCATCGATGGTCAAATGAGATTTCCGGAAGCCTCATCTTTTTGGCGACGCGGCGAAGCCGTTGCAAGACCTCGTGGATCCAGGGTGAGGTTTGATTTCGGGTGAAGTTTGAGCCGAGCAATCCCGTGGTTCATAGAAACTGGCCTCTGTTTTTTTTGGTTCGATGGAGCGATTTAGATGAGACATTTGGACATGATTCTTCGACCCACCTTTCACCAGGAATTGAAGCTCCAAAACCGATTTGTCGAGGATCTGCGCGTTGACTTTTGGCCCCGCCCCAGTGTACAGAGACCACCCTGGCGTATACAGAGACCACCCTGGCCATTTGAGGCAGATCCAGGATAGATCTTCATGTCTTAGCCATCCCTCAAAAGATGCGCAAAAGTGTGTGAAACCAGGAGATTGTAGATGATATTTAGATATAATTGAATATAAATTCAATTTTTAAAGATCTATTCAATGACATGTTTCCAGGTTTAACATCTATTTTGGGGTTGCTATAGTTCTGTGCAGTTCTGTCATATGATGTCATGCCCATTGGAAATGTTGAACAATGTGCCTGCTAATTGTTTATAGCGCATATGAATGGATATGAATGGTGAGGGTACATACGTTGATATATGATATAAACATCTATACTATACATACACATTATCTTACAATACACTATTGTTTATAAACTCTATATTCTATCATTCATTATTGCTCTACGTATGTATCTATATGCATATTGCATTTTTATATGCACATATCTACCATAGATAATACATCATTAAATTGATATTCTATACTATAGATTTTACATATATCATATGTTGTACATCATATGCTACGTATTGTATACTCTAAATATTATGCCATTATACTTGCATGTCATAATATAACATACTAGAACATAATCAAGGTAATATAATACAATACATATATATATAATACAATATAGTATGATAATATATTGTAAAAATACACTATAACACATTAAAACATAATACAATATAATATAATGTGATATAACATAGTTAAATGTAATATGAATATGAACCCATATTTAATATACACTAATATAGCATGAACACTATCATATAATCAATTGATACATGTGTTTATAGCAGAACATGCTATGATATGATATGATGTGATGTGATATGATATCATGCGATATGATATGGTATGATTTCGTATGTTCTGATACGCTGTGTTGTGACATCATATTATGTAACATAGCACTATAATATGATTCGATATAACATGATATATTGATATTTGATAACTGATACACTATGACGCAATATCATGTTATAAACTATATGACACTACTTTTGAATATTATGATATATATATATATATGATACCATATTCACAGTACTATGTCCTATCATTACTGTATTACTGTATATTGTTTGAGTTTGACTCTATCGTTACTGTATATCTTAGTTTTTTCCCGAATGCGTAGCAAGGGTTCCCGTTTCACTCTGGGGGTCTGGGGGTTGAGGGTGTGTTCGCTCGACGTTGCGTTCGCGAGCGCAACCGTTCGCAACCGTCCGCAACCGTTCGCGCGATCCCCGTATGGCCGTGCCTATGGGAAGTTCTGCAGAGGTGGTAATTTTTGGAGGTTTCAGACGTGTCGTTGCTTCGTTTTGCGTGGCAGGCGTGGCACTTCGTGACATTCAGACGTGTTCTGCAACGTGTCGAACGTCGTTTTGCGTGGCAGGCGCAATACTTTTGCGACGTTTTCAGAAGATGTGTTGCAGTTTTCGTGGCAGGCGCAGCACTTTGGGCGTGTCCATCGTCATTTTTCGTGGCAGGCGCAGCACTTTAGACGTGTCGCGTTGCGTGTTTTTTGCAAATCGCATTGGCAGGGCTGCGTCAAGTGGCGACAAGGTGCAAATTCCGTGGCAGGCGTGGCATTTTGTGCGATGTGCTGAAAATTGACGGAAGCCTCGCACGAAACATCGATTTTGATGTTGCCAATTTTCGGGTTCTAAGGAAAACTCGTAGGAAAACGTCGATTTTGAAGCTGCAAAGTGTGAAAATTGGAGGAAGTCTCGTACGAAATGCTCGTTTTGGTGCTCCCACGTGTCTCGTCTCGAGTCTCTGGTTTTCCCGTGGCCTCGCCGTGTCTATGGGGGAAGCTGCAAAACTTGTCCTTTTGTTATGTTGCCAACTGTGAAAATTGCCGGAAGTCTCGTACGAAATGCTGGTTTTTCTGTATCCACGTGTCTTGTCTCGAGTCGCTGGTTTTCCTGTGGCATCGCCGTGTCTATGGGGGAAGCTGGAAAACATATCCTTTTCGAATGTTTCCAAGCAGGTTGTCCTGTCGTTTTGCGTGGCAGGCGTGGCACTTTGTGACATTCCAACCTGTTTGATAATGTGTTGAAAATGTGAAAATTGGAGGAAGTCTCGTACGAAATGCTGTTATTTCTGCATCCACGTGTTCTGTCACGAGTCTCTGGTTTTCCTTTGGCGTCGCCGTGTCTAGGGGGGAAGCTCCGCACTCCACACTCTACACTTTACACTCCGCACTCCACAATTTACACTTTACACTCCACACTTTACACTTTGCACTTTACACTCCTCACTCCTCACCTGAGGCTTTACACTCCACACTCCACACTCTACACTTTACACTCTACACTCCACACTTTACATTTTACACTCCACACTCCACACTCTACACACCACACTCTACACTTTCCACTCCACACCCCGCACTCCACACTCTACACTTTACACTCCTCACTTTATACTTTACACTCCTCACTCCACACTCTACACTCCACACTCCCCACTTTACACTCCACACTCCACACTTTCCACTCCACACTCCGCACTCCACACTCCACACCTTACTGTACACTCCACACTCCACACTTTATACTTTACACTCCTCACTCCACACTCCACACTTCACACTCCTCACTTTACACTCCACACTCCACACTCTACACACCACACTCTACACTTTCCACTCCAGACTCCACACTCTACACTTTACGCTCCACACTCCACACTTTACACTCCACACTTTACACTCCTCACTCCACACTCCAAACTTTACACTCCACACTCCACACTTTACACTCCTCACTCCACACACTACACTTTACACTCCACACTCCTTACTTTACACTCCACACTTCACACTCCACACTTTCCACTCCACACTCCACACTTTTCACTTTACACTCCACACTCCCTACTCTACACTCCTCACTCCACACTCCACACTTTACACTCCACACTTTACACTCCACACTCCACACTCTACACTTTACACTCCACACTTTACACTCCACACTTTACACTCTACACTATACACTCTACACTCCACACTTTACACTTTACACTCCACGCTTTCCACTTTACACTCCTCACTCCACACTTTACACTCCACACTTTGCACTCCACACTCTTCACTTTACACTCCACACTCCACACTCTACACTCCACACTTTAAACTCCACACTCCACACTCTACACGCCACACTCTACACTTTCCACTCCACACTCCACACGCTACACTCTACACTCCACACTCTCCACTTTACACTCTACACTTTACACTCTACACTTCACACTCTACAATTTACAAACTCCACACTTTACACTCCACACTTTACACTCCTCACTTTACACTCCACACTCCACACTTTGCACTTTACACTCCTCACTCCCTACTCTACACTCTACACTCCGCATTCTACACTTTACACACTCTACACTCCCCACTCCACACTTTACACTCCACACTCTACACTTTCCACTCCACACTGCAGACTGGTAACAAGGGAAACATGCACAAGACTGTTCAAATAAACTATTGCAGAAAGGTATTGTGCGTGACTGCATAACCATGTGTTTTG